CTGACCCAAGTAGCCCACAGGAGAGAAGTCTCAGAAAACTAAGGTCAGCTGATTACAGCAGGCATCAGGGGAAAAGCAGGCACATAGGAAGGTCAGAGGTACAACAGGAGCAGTCAGAAAAATAAATTGGCCATGGTTGTACAGCAAATAAACTGTGTGTCAGAGCTGTGAATAAAATCCAGAAGTCCTGATCCCTTGTCTCTCTCTCTGCTCTATTGTCCCAGTCCTAACCAGATCCTCTCTCAAAATGACTTTCTAATACAGACAGCCCAGGAGACTGAAACATTTTTCCTAGCTACAAAACAAATGTAGTAAAAGGTATACAAAGGTTTCCTTCACACAGTAATTCCACCATTTATGTTACACTGGAAAGACCTTGCTAATAAATATTGTACATTTCCTCCAGGTCAGCAACCAGAACGTCTGAGTCTGCAGAATTTGTCGTTTAAGAATTGGGTGTCAGGGTATTTTCAATAATTATTCAAACTTAATTCTGAGTCACCATTTACAGGGGTGTTCCCTTCAAGTTTTGCCATCAATCAGTTTGTGTTTGCTAGATATTGGGGATATCAGAGGAGTTGTAAAAGCAGAAGACCTTTTCAAGCACAATAATTATAAATATCTAATATTGGCCAAGATTTAGATCACTTTTCTATTTCAGTAAAACAATAAAAATCTCATACTCAGTCCAGAGAGAAAATAGCCAAGGAAAGTATGAAGGTTCATACTCACAACATTTTCTATGTAAAAGAGCTACATAATCTACAGGAGTTGATATGATAAAGACTTAAAATTGTGAAATTGTTTCTAATTTCTAACTGTAAACATGCACTGTTTGCCACACAATGTGCAGTGTGCTTTTCCAAACAGCTTTTTAGCAAAACGATTAAGTAGCTGGTCTTATCTAAGACTTAAAAGTGCCAAACCAAGAACAGATTTAGGATGGGCTCCAAATTACTGAAGTCAAGCCATTTCAAAGTGTATTAATCAGGTTTCCTAATAACACATCAGTCACTGAATACAACTGCGCAGTTTTCATGTAAGGCTTGATCAGCCACTTGGAACATGGAGCCCATGGGTGAGGTCTTCAGTGCAAATCAGAGCAGTTTTCCTGTAATCCACAATCACACAAGTTCAGAACTGGTCTAAGTATTTAAGATGCCCGTTTTAAATGACCTGATTGTATTTGTATTTCCGTGACACATCCATATACTTAATAACTGAACACAGAGTTTTTTAGTCTAAAAAGTTTGCTTCATAAAATGTAGATTTTTCTTCCCCTTTGGCAAGTATTGTCTTCCATGGTAGAGGCTTCCCTCTAGTGGACACTTCCCCTGCTGTTTTATTTATAAGGTTTTAGTAATTTAATGGAACAGTTGTACAATATATCCAGTATCAAGTATTTGCTTTCTGATTTAAAATAATTAAAAGGAAATGCCTGACAGGACTTCATTAGCACCTATACAACGTTTCTTGAGGACCTTTAAAATTATTGCAGCAGTCTCAAGAGCAGTTACTTCAAACTGTAACAGAATGTAAAACTGTTTAACCAACTTAGGTATGTAAACAGCAAAACCATGTCCTGAAAAAAACTAATTATTGATTCAGTAGTTCAGGAAAGAGATACAAGGACAAGAGCAGTGTTGTTCTGTATTGACTGGCTGCTGTTTGACCCAGCTACCAGTGCTGGTCTCATGAATCTCCAGTCTGTTTGTGTGGGCTACGCTGACTGGCTCGTTCAGTATCCAGTTGCTCAGAGGAGGGCAATAGGTACCTGACTTGCTTGGTGCACTGGTTTCCTCAAAACATTTAACTCTAAAAAGATGCACTTGGAGCTCCGATATGTAACAAATACATATGCACTTAAACATTTTTGTTCTTTCCTATGGCAGTGTGATCACATAATTCACCTGGGCCCACTTCTCCAGCCTGTCCCGGTCCCTCTGGGTAGCATCCCATCCCTCTGGCACATTGACTGCACCACCCAGCTTGGCATCATCATCTGTGAATTTTTCTTTCTTCAGAATGTGACAATAAAAACATTCATTGTAGCAGTAACTTTCATAATACAAATCTCAGCCCACTAGTAACTGAGACCACTAACACGTTTATTGGATTTTCAAGTACTTGCCAGGTGATAGTGGTATGTGCACAGTTTTATGGAATTTACTGAGAATCCTAAATTCATGCAAACAAATATGACCTGGGAAGTTGTTTTCTGAGTTTCAGCTAGAGTAAGCAGAGGCTTCTTGAACCAGCTGAAAGTTTTATGAAAGTGTATGTTTTTCCCAAAGCTAAACTTTTCTATTCCAAGTCTCCCAGAGTTCCAAAATCTCTCTTTTTTTTTTTTTCCCCCTCACACATGGGCTGTTGACAGGACTATTTCTCATTAATCTTTTCATTAAATTTTGGAGGCCACATGGTAGCCTGTCTGACATTTTTCATCTATGGGGATTTTAGTAGAATACACCTAGTTTCCCAGCTCAATTAGAGGAATCTCATTCCAGCTGAACAGATGTCCACATCACGGAGCAATGTCACAACAGTCCCTTTTGTTGTCAGTTTCTCTAAAGATAAACCAGTACTTGTTAAGAAAATATAATAATAATAATAATAGAATAACTATATAATATATGCACATGTATGCATGTGCCCCTTATGAATTAAATTCTTCTCCTCTTTCTAAATATGGACTCTAGTCAAAAAGTCACTGCTCATTTGTAGCTGACAATACTCCCAAAGCAGTAAAAACTCAGAAATAAAGTCAGTGGGAGGGATTTTCTGCAATCCTTTTCTGAAACAGAATTAAACAGGACTTTAGAACTGGGCCCAGTTCAAATCAGATCAAAGAGTACAGTGCCTAAAGGAGATACAAAGATATGCAAGGTCCAGTGTATCATTTATAAAAATGTGAGTAGTGTGGAAAGTAATAACTTCAAGGATTTATAAAAGTAATTTACTTAGCAGAGGTGGTCTTCTAATAGTCAGAAACAAAGCATATATATCACACTTGAGAATATTTTCAGGTGGCCTGCTCAGAGAGAAGGCTGCCTAGGACATGAGATCTACAGTTAAGGTTTCCCTATCCAGAGGCTGAGCACACAAAAAATGACACAACATAGAGAAGAGGAGAGCATTTTAAAAAAGAGCAGAGCTAAGTTGGCTGCTACAAATCGTATCAGATATATACACAATATTTATCTCTTCACTGTAATTGGAGTAACTGTGCTCAGTTAGACTGCTGGAAATCACAAATTGAAATAGTGCCAATAATTAGCCCTTTCATTTGAACGAGGTTTAAAACAAGTAGTCTCACCTGTACCATTGATGTTAGCAAAACCACACTAAATTCTGTTTAAATGTGGAAAACTACGAGATAATCAACAAACAAATGTGCAATACATGTCTTTTTTCCCCTATAAATTAAATCCTAGAACCAGTCATATAAAGCTGTAGGTGTAATACATGGGCAATGAGTATGAGCAATATTGCAGCACTTAGTATTCTATCACGGCATCATCCTCTCAGGGCTCTTTAGAGCACCAACATCCTTTCAGAACAGCTAAATTACCCTGGGTTGAAAAGCTCAGGAAAGGGGAAACATACAAACTACTCTGGGAGTCCCCCTCCTTTTCTTTCTCTCACTATCCACAAGCACTCATAAAGGCAATATATGTTTGCAGGAGTTCCTCAGGAGTGCTGCTCTTCACCTTCATTTGGCACCTGAGAATAAAGAAGGGAGAGTATCTCTGCTCAAACAATAGTCATCACTCTTTACATGTATGGTTTTTGTTAATGTTTCCTTTCAGAGGAGGATTCTGCTGAGGAAATTCTCCAGGTTTTTGAACACAAGTTGCTACCTACTAGAAAGGAGTACCTTACACTAGGAATTAGAAAAGCAAGGCTTTTCACAAGATAGGGAGCTCACATATATAAGGTAGGGAATATGATAGGGAATTTATAGAAGGAAGGTATTGCTAACTGCACAAAATAGGGCCCAAGTACCCTCAAGGCATTAAGAATTCCCAAATAGTACTGCTATTTAATGTATCACTGAAAGTTGTGGATATGCCCATTAATCCACTTGGAAGAGCATTTCCACGTTATCAGCCATGATCCGAGCAGCAGCTGTAAGATTACAAAGAAATGAGAAAAATCTTCTTTCATTAATGTGCCCTCTCCCCAAGAAAACACTGAACTAGTTGAATTAATAAAATGTACCCAGCCTGGTAAGAACAGAATGTAACATGTTGTATGCAAGCTGGTGTTAGCTCATTTTGTTAGTAGGATTAATTTTCGGAAATCAGAGACTTTCATGTTAATCCCAGATAATAGTGCAGTTTGGTACACTAAAATAATCAGATAACAGTGAATGTCAAAGGGATTTGATTTCAAATTATGTGGAGCATGTTACTGAAACGATCACCCCCTCATTTTATGAAAGGATGACCTAGAAGAATGTCAGGGAGGGTTCACCATGTCTTAACAGCTGTAGACCTCTGCTTCAAGTCATCTTTAAGAATATGACTTTGTTTATTCAAATATTGATTTCTGACAGCAAGTTAACACAAGAATTTTAAAAAGATGTGGACTTTATCACAACAACGAATGTGCAAATATTGTGTAAGAAACTGGTACATGAAATTGCCTTCTACATATAGCACTGAATCTGCTACAACCAAATACCTCATTTGTGTTTGCAATAAAAAACCCACTACCCTACCTTGTCTCTCCCACTAATGTGATTCATGTCCTTCCTTTTTGCATCTCCCTCGTTCCCCGTATCTTTACTCTGATTGGTTGCAGCAAGGCTAATGCCTGTTTTATTTCTAGTTAATCTGGTTAAGTAAGAACCTGGGATTGTGATGTCAGTGCATTAGTAGAAGGAAGGATGGCAATCTTGACCTTTTAGAAGCAGGTCATGATCTGACTGCAAGATGAAAATAGAGGAAGACAAACTGCAGTAATAATATCAACTCATTCAGCGATAGTTCAAAGTTATGGCTCATGGACTGCAGGTAAGAAAGCGTAAGGCACTTATATTTGGTTATGTGACTGAAAGGAGCTTTGTGTGGGGGGGAGAGGCTAGCTTCAGCAAAAATAGTAGAACATTAGAAATAATGACTGATGAAAGGCCCTATTTCTAATGTTTACTCAGGAGAAAAACTGGCTTTCAGAACAGAGGCATCTTTATAGACTCAGTTTTTTTACAAACTTACAACGTTATTTAGTTGACTTTAATATACCTATATTCATGTTCTTTCATTCTATGTTGATGAAATAATGCCTATTTATGAATCTCTTTATTGTACATAATTGTTGTAGTTCATTTTGTTGTTTTCCCCCCTTAAACTCATAAACCTAGATCAGTAAATGAACAACAGATGAGACTGAATCTAAATTATACAACTAATTCCTCAAGTTATAAGCTCGTGATTTAAACATTTAATGACTTTGTGTGATAGTTTAGTGAACTGATTGGAGGGAATGCTGCTGTATTATTTAGCATGTGCCACAATGCAAATGTTTTTATGAGCCTGTAAGGTATATGCAGCATGTTGCTATGGTGATGTGGTGCTCAAACTGATGCAATCCTTAAAGTCGCTCCTGAACCTTTCAGCAGACCTTGAAAAAAGCTTCACAGGTAGCAACAAACAAGGTATTAATGTAGCAGACATTGTTTTCACGAAATAGTCTCAATAAGCATAGTTGTTAATCAAACAATAGGTACTAAGCTGCACTGCTGGAGTAGCTATTAGCAGGAATCACTATGCACACTTAGATGCTTCAAGATTAGCTTTACTCAATAGTTACGTTAACACAGACAAAGCTCATTCCTCACTTGAGCTGAACCAGTTGTGCTGCCTCTCATCAAATGCAGCAGGAAGCTAAATTCATTGGCAACAAGGCTGAACTCTAACTTTCATCGCTGTGCAGATGAAAGCCCAAATTATAACTGCAAAAGCAAACGTTAAGGCTGAAGTCCATTAAATATGGCAATCGGTATCATGATCGGGCAAAAGAAAAACTGCTCAAGTCTCAGGTAGCACAGTCATTGCATTTAAGTTGCAGTTAGCAGAATGCAATAGAGATGGGGATCTTAGCAAAAAAACAAACAAACAACAAAACAAACAACCTGCTCTTTTTAAACTGCTTATCATGTCAGTGACTATCATTAAAGGTGATTTTCCTGTACTCCGAATAACAATGATGCTTATATGTTCCAATAGTCTCAAATAAACACCTTTATCTTGGAACAATGCTTCTAATTATGCCCTATCCTCACTGCTTCTCGTTGACAGAATCGTGTATCCTGTATGTGTATTCTGTCTGTCACCACTAGCAACCTTACACAGGCAGAAATTAGCCCATTTCAACCTGGCCAACTGGGTTAATACAACACTCAAACAACAATAAGCAGTTCTGCGCTGCATTAAAGGCTGCTCATAGATGCTACTGTCCAGCCTCATCAGCAGCTGATTCCAGTGTAACTGCCAGTATCTCTTCCAAGGTTAACAAAGCACAAACAAACTTAATTTGAAATCTATCCTTTACCTAAGCTCCTAAGCTTTCACTTCACTGACTTTAGCCATGAAGAAAACAGCAATATAGTACTGCTAACACTGTAGTGCTGTAAATCCAACTTGGAATATCAAGGCCCATCAATTTTGACTACTTGCAGAATACAGGTAGTTCAGCCAGGATGAGATTCTATACGCATTGCCTTGTATTATCATATCCTGGTCTTTGAAATTCTTGTTAACACCTGTCTCTCTAGTTTTATCTTTAAATGAAGTGGGCTACTTGTGGCCAATTTAAAAGAAACAGCAGTAATTGGTTATCTTATTTTTGTGGCTGCTCCAAGTTTCACAAGTAATAACCTATTTCTGTTCCCAACAGTCCATTTTTTCTTTTCTTCCTAAGCACTCATCTCTCCTATGCCAAAAAAGGAGAATTAAAACCAATTAATGTGTCTAAAGAGTTTGCAGGTGTTAACTTGTTTGTTACTTTTTGCTACTATTGCCTAGTTCATAGCTCTGTGCTGTCATACACCAAGTCTGAGAGAAAAGATATACAATCTCACCAAAAACATTGAATAAAATCACTCCTTTAAAACTTCCCCTTCTACTCAAGTAGTTGTCTACTTTGCTGCTCAATAAACAGACCATAAGCTATTAGGAACATATGCTCCACCAAAGAAATCTGTATGATGCAGCACTCTCATATTTTGAATTATACTGTATTGAGTTCTGTGGAATGCAACTGGTGTGTAGTTAACCTATTTCACACTGGTGAAGCTTTGAGTCAGCTTTGAATTTTTCTTTCAACTAGTTCTGTATTTTTTAACAATAACAGGGCAATATTAGATCTGACAAAATCACACTAATTTGAGGTTTTTTCTTAACTTATTTCTAATACTTACAAATTAGCCCTCTTATTCACAATTGCTTCCACCTCATTTTATTTTTTCCTTGCCTGCTTTTGTACCTCCACTTCATAAATGAACAAGATATATTTTAATTTTGATATATTATTGCCAGGCAGCAGGGTGTGGGAGTGGGGGGAGAGGGTGGGGAGAAGAGAGGAGTCTTTCTCTGCATTATCAGAGACGGAAGATTTTTTCCTGTGTGGCTTTGTCTTTACTCTTAGAGCTATTTCCCTTTCTCTCGCAGATAAGAGATGAAGAAAGCGGCTATAATAAAAATCTATTTTGCATTCCTAAGCATTATGAAGAAGATTTAGAAAGAGTCTTCATTCCTCATGGACTCATCCTGGACAGGTATGAGGGTAATCAACAAAGAGCAGTGCTAGTGATGCCAATGATCCATTTCCCTCCAAATGAGCAGGCCGATGCCCTGCCCTTTGTAGCCTGTGAAAAACATGGAAACCCTGCAGCGGTAACACTTGTGTTCTGGAGTTTAATGGAGAGGATTCCTCTACAGCTCCACTTAAATTTCCATGTTATTTCAAATATCTTTAAGCTTTCTTATCCTCCATTGTTTAGATATATGGATTAAATCAGCAGTATGTTGAGTAGGGGTCATCTTGTGAACTGCCAATACGTAACTAACTTTCTTATGTCTTAACGTGGTCACGATTTTCTGGTTTTAAAAACTTAATAGTAAGATCAGAATTTTAACTTGGACATTGCTTAATATATGACAAACAAATATAATATGCAAAACACTTTAAAGGATTTGGTTTTTTTCCCTTTCAGGACAGAACGTTTGGCTAGAGATATCATGCAAGATATGGGAAGCCATCACATTGTTGCGCTTTGTGTCCTTAAAGGCGGCTATAAGTTCTTTGCTGATTTGCTGGACCATATAAAAGCACTAAATCAAAATGGTGATAAATCTGTGCCTGTTACCGTGGATTTTGTCAGAATAAAAAGCTACTGCGTAAGCAACTTTCTTTTCCTGGGAAAACTTGACTTTCCTCGTAGACTGACATTATGAATACTGTTAGTTTACATGAAAATTCCACAAAAATTGAGTTTATGAATCTGTCCTGTTCAAAGTAACTTAATGTACCACATACTGAAAAGTAACTGATTTACTGATCTTCCCCAACAATCGGATGATATTGTATATTCACTGGAATTAACATATAATAGAACATTTAACATGGCAAAGCCAGGGTTAGGTCTCCAACGTCCTCCTCTCCAGCCCAAAGCTTCCATACAGGTTCTACTCTGTCTTTACCACGGCACCCTTTGGTGGGAAGGAGTCTGGAGAGGAGCTTCACATCAGAGACTTGCTATTGTCTCTCTCTGCATTATTTTTTTTTCCTACAGATAATATTGGAGAGACTTGTTTTCATAATCTGAGTGTTGGTAAACAGGTGTCTCTTGCCTGACCAACTGTAGTCGGCCTGAGCCAACATCTGTAAAGCGATGACTTATGCTATTTTTTTCTGGTTTATCTTCTCCCCACTTTGAAGCCTAGAGCTCTGTGCACTGATCAAAATTTCCCCCATGCTAAATACAACAGTTTACAGTATCCTATAAATGTTTCATGGAATTCTAAAATAAACCTGTAGTAATAAAATAGCCAAAAGCAATGATGTTTATTCTATGAATGTGGATGTACTCTTGTTCCATGCAAACATCTTCACTTTCTCCTCTTGCTCTCAGCTGCATAAAAGCTGTTTTACTGAAAGAGTGCTGTGTAAAGTTGCAAGTGTCATTTGATAAGCAAAAAGCAAGAGCAGCACACCCTTCATACACACACAAGATAATACTTCAGAGCATGTTTGATGTGACTTCCCTCTCTTCTTTCTCCTTCTAGAATGACTCACCTACAGAAAAAATCAGTATTGTTGGTGAGGAACTATCTACACTAAATGGGAAGGTATGAATTGGCATCTTCAGCTTTTAAGGGAAAAGAACAGTTCTTATGTATCTTCCAGGAAGTCTATCTTTATTAAGAATTTGATACTACGTATTTACAGGCACTTAACATGTTTTGAAATAATGAGTAATTCCCACTGATCTCAGTGGAAACAATACGATCAGCACTGAATGCTTCTAAAGATCCTGTTCCACTTCTTATCCCACAGTCCCCAGAAATGAACCATCTTAAACTGACTCATGCAGTATGGTTTTAGAATGCTATTGCTATATAGAAAAATATATAAAACTTGACATAGGTGGTTTTCTCACAATATTTTATGCTTCTGTAAATAGTTACAGAAAGACTCCTCAGAAAGCACTAAAATAATGTAAGTAGTTAAGTGACAAACTCCTTTGAAAATCAATTGCAACTAACTTGGAACTGAAGTTTGTAGTGCAAACTTTTCCTGTCTGTATAATTCACTGAATGTTGCCATATAATTTTATTTTTTTTTCTCTCCCTACATGATCTTTTCCAGAATGTGTTAGTAGTAGAGGTAAGTAAAGACTGGGGGGGGGGAAACGACATGGACTTTTTTCTCCCCATTTTGCAAGTTAATATCTATTGTATATAAACCAACAATTAATTCTGTTATTGTGCTGCCAGGGTTGTTGACTGGTTTTTATGCTTTCAGTTAATCCACTGACAGTCTGTTTTTTCTTTCTGACTCTGAGGATAATTTATTTTTTTAATCTTTTTTCAGGACATTATTGAGACTGGTCGAACAATGAAAGCGTTACTTTCAAAACTCAAAGACAACAAACCAAAGATGGTAAAAGTTGTAAGGTATAACAGTATGGCCACTTACTAATGTATTGTAACAAGAAGATACAGCAAAATCATTTAGGTGAATAGTCAGTGCATGCTGACTCTGACAACACTGAATTTTTCTTAATATCTTCAGTCATACAGGTTTAGAGAATCTAAGAGTTTCTCAGTACTGGGAAGAAGACTTCAAATAGCATTAGAGATCTGCTTT